GTTGGTAGGAACTACAATCTCGTCTTTAAATTTGTTGTAAATAGTTTCTACTTGTACGTAATTTCTTCTTTCATAGTCTTTTATCACTAGAATACTAAAACTATAGAGGCTTTGCTATAAAAGCCCAACAGAATTTTCCAAGTTCCTTCAAGGCGGATTTCCAGCCCTCGCACGAAGCTCCTCGCTGCTCGCTGCGAGAACTCGCAGACGTTCTGCGAGTGTTTTGCTGCTTGCAGGGAATTGAATAGTTCAAAATTTTGAACTATTTTTTACTCGCTGCGAGAGATCGCAATATTAAACCAATCATAAAACGGCATACAGTCACATGATAATTTGTTTTCAAAATGGCGGCTAGATGGAGTGATGAAAATATACAAATTGTAATAATTTTTATTGGACTTCTAAATTAGTGGCTTTATCAAATTGTGTAAATAATCCGGCCAATTGGTTTGGTAACATCCTGAAATAATTGAAGTAGCCTTCGTGGTCTTCCTCCTGTAATTCTTTAAAAGTCTTAACTAGTGTAAAAAATTCACTTAATTGTGCTCTCGTTTGGAATATTGGTCTTACCCAGAACTGTTTTAAATATTTGATACGTCGTTTTCGTCGACTTCGCAATAACAACGTGCAAAAGCAATAATTGCTTTTTGCTAAGCGCCATTTTGAACTTTGAACTCTTCCCGTCACTACCAAGCATACAAACTGACGGGCAAGCCATGAGCTACGAGATTGGCGTGTGGTGGAAACGGAATGACATTCATGCGAGTACTCGCAGCGAGAAGCTTCTTACGAGGACTGGAAATCCGCCTTTAGCTCATTATACTACTGTAATTATTTTTAATACTTGTAAACATTTTGTGGGCAAATTAATAAACATCTTAAATATTTAAATCAATTTAAGAGTGGAGAGTCTCGCGCATATTTCCTTTGATAATTGAGCTTGCGCTTTTGAAAACATAGTTCTCGACGATTATTTTTTGACAATTCACAGTTCATCGACAACTAAATATTTCTTGTTTCAAGAACATGAGAACACTACGTTTACATTGAAGAAAAACGAAACCCGACGAAGCTACAGAGAACTATCATTTTGTAATCATATACAATATTAACAAAACAGTTACGTTCAGAGCATGCAAAAATGTTTTATGAGTAACTACTTTGTTTTTACAAAACTGAACGATCCTCACCGTTATGTAACCGCACATTTGCCTTGACAGTTTGTGCCTTCAAGGAACTACAAACTAGACAACAAGACAAAACGTTTTGACGATGAAAACGTAGTTTTAGCTTTGTAGTTTGCATTCCTGGCCAAAATTCACATTACAACTTCAGCACGGTAAAAATTGGCATTTCGTTCCATCCGACCAAGTCGGGTTGCTTGGTTACCAAGCTCGTCGGCAAATCGTCGGCACCTTTCGCCAGCACTTCGCGCACTCATTCAGAATCTTGTTGCTTTAAAAGGTTTCACATGAATTTTTGGATTCTGTGCGCAATTTGTAACACCAAATAGAGCAAACGATGGCGAATCAAGTTCTAGCGCGTGAACAAACGGCTGTTGAGCAAATATATGTTGAAAATCAAGAACCGACAGCGACAAAACTAACAACCGAACAACTTGGTTGACCAGATTGTAAGCTTAGACTTTATACGATGAATGATCAATGGTATTTTAAAGTAGAAGACGTCCTGCAAGAATTTGGCATCAGAAGTCATGTGGAGAAGACGGTAAAACCTTTGTGCTATCTGATAACATTGCAGAGCCAAAGGAGAAAACGAAAATGAACACAAAAGAGGTCACAACCCTTTTATAGTTAGTGGTGGAGGCAGTGATTACACTGGAGACATTGCCACTGCTGTGGATGCAGATTTCATTCTGATTACATCTCAGAAAGAAGTTGACAAGGCTCACACTAAACTTAACAAAACTATCGAAAAAGCATATCGTATGGGTGGCCAATGGTTTCCAAAAGATTTATCATTGATGCTGAACGATCCAAAGAATGCCCCAATTTGGAGAACTATAAAGTTGACTTGTCCAAGTTGAAACAAATACCTAAGAATACTTTAGCCAATGTGGCTGTTGTCAGAGGAAATGCTGTTGCCAATGCTGGGAAAAAATATAGTGCTCATCAAGAAATGAAGAAAATCATTCGCCAGAAAACTGTTCGGCCGCAGACAATAGAGTCAACTCCAAAGAGTGTTGTAAAAAAACGGCCATGTACCGGGTACTTAATGTTTTCCCGCAAAGAGTTTCCTTTAGTGAAACAACGATTTCCGAGACTCCCATTTAAAGATGTAAACTTAATTATTGCCAACAAGTGGCGTTCTTTGAGTACTGATGAACATAAAGTCTACATTGACAGTGGAAAGAGCATTTGGAGATGAAACTTTGTTTACATGCATAAATAAAACTTGCGCATTCAAAATGGCGCATTAAAAAGGGCACGCACGGTGAAAAAATGGAGACATGATTCGTCATCAGCTCGCATTCTATGTGTATTATTTCAATGGAAAATAGTCTCAACCAGTTATGTCCAAGATGGTAGGTGTCTTGAAGTCGCCGCGTTCTTTCAGTTACTGACGTCATCAGCGTGCAATAATATGAAAAATGTATTATTGTACGCTGTGGTTACAAAGTCCCGGCGCGGTGCACTGTTTGCTAAAAAGCGCGGGAAAATTTCATACCTTTAAAATCGTAAACAATTAATGGCTTTGCTTTCTTTCTCAAGTTAAATCAATTATTCATTTTTTGGGCGTATTTGTTGGATTTCTATTAAATTTGACGAACATTCTACATGCAACTCACGAAACTTTGTGTTTAATTTAGACTGAAAAGGTAGGTTGTGCGTAGACACGAAATCATTGAAGTTTCAGGCAAGTGGTTAGAACAATTATATTATCATATTACCTGAAGAACATTCTACTCCTGCGTCCTTATAATGCTCACAATTATGATTTCCCCATCCATTATGAGAACAATTGATTAGACTTTGCTCATTTCCAGTACATCTGACATTATCTAGCCATATCTGTCCAGTACCATCAGGAACTTGGTATCCATTAAGAGCTCTGATGGCATATGGATAACCAAGTATATGACGACATACAACCCTAGCGTCATTTATATCCCAATAATCATGACAAATTGTTCCCCATCGTTCATTGTAGAATACTTCCACACGACCAGTGCCATTGGAACTTGACGGTCCTCGTAACCGGACTGCTATAGATTTCTCTATGACAATTGGAATAAATATTTGAGCATACGACGAAAATGACTGCAGGAATTTAGTAGACTGCCTGCAGCACTTAATTTATTTTCAGCGATTTAATTAGGGCCGTCCCGTAACAAAGTCAAATGAAAATATCTGAGCCGTCGGTTAAAATTAAGGAGTTATAACACCAGGGGGTACAACAGGTATTCGGCATAATATTGAATCTCAGTCGGGAAAACATGGATTAGCGTAAAATATTTGAGTGACACCGATTAAAAATTAAAAATGATAGCAAAAAGGTAGAACGAAATGGAACAAAGAACGATGGTTAAACACAAAATAAGATTGAGAAATGTGTTTTCAGAGAAAAAAATGATGTTGTTCTGGCGCTCTTGCACATGTGGTCTGTAATTATTTCTGGTTTTCAGGTTACCACATTCGATCATGATTTCCATTCACTTGCATTTTTACAGAAAAGGCAAAACATCGAAGTCCTTCCTTATTCGCTTTCATCTTGTGTTTTTGACAACCATGGGAACACTTGACAGCACGTTGGCATGGCAATTTTTAGTATGGTTGACGGATGCGCAAATGTTTTCTCCGGTGTTGAGATTGATGTTTCATCCCCGAGCCGACGGCGCGAAGCGCCGTGCGAGGGTACTAATTCCCCCCGGCTATTTACACCCGGGGAAACGAAAGCATTATCGAAGTCTAAAGTTCATCAAATATCGCGAGCGTGGGTCACCAACCGTGGGTGGTCATCCTCACTGATCTCAAAAATATGGCGGACTGTCATGAATAGCGAACACTGTGATTGGTCCAATTTAAAGTTTGCATTATAACGACTGCATGACGACAGCGAAATAGCAAACATTTCTTTATTTGATGATTGATAAATTTCTTGCAAATATATTTCATTTTTGCTCGCATTTTTGCAAGATTTTGTAAATTTCAAGTAAGAAATGGCGAAAGAATCGGCTAAAAGAAGGGAGCCAACGTTAACGAAG